ATATGATGTCTAGAATTTCCACGAACAATCCCAGTTTGTCTCCTGCTGTTAGCTCTGCCTTCCGGAGCAAAGGGAAAGGGGGGACGGGTATGCACCTTAAGAGCGTGATGTGGGATTTGCACGGGGCGTGTTGCTCCTAGTGTCCAGAGAGGCTGGAAATGCAGCCTCGTGGAATGGGTCTCCACCTCGGCCATGCCTCAGCTGAAGGGAGGCATCAACTGGATCTCCATCCGGAACTGTATGCACCACGCGGAATGAGAACTTTGGACTCTCTGGACAGTGAAAAGATTTGGAAAGCCCCCAAATGTCTCACACTGAAACTTCTGAGTTCAAAGTAGCCATTTAAAGAATTGCAGATAAACTTTACACTGATGAAAGAAAAATGAGATGGACACGCAGATAAAGCCAAGAAAGCAGGCGATGTTTATTGCTTCTGGTCAAGGAAGTCACTTCACAGCCCGAGAATTGCAACAGTGGGCCTATGATCATGGAATCCATTGGTGTTACCATGTTCCCCACCATCCTGAAACAATTGGCCTTCAAAATGACCTTTTGAAGACAGTTACAGCACCAATTAGGGGGTGATGTCCTGGAGGGCTGGAGCAGGGCTCTCCAGAAGGTCGTATGTACTTTAAACTGGTGTCCAATATATGATATGGTTTCTCTCATAGCCAGGATCCGTAGATTCAGGATTCAAGGGGCGGAAAAGGAGATAATTCCACTCATTATCACCCCTAGTGACACTTAAAAAAAATTACTTCCTGTTTTCATAACCCTACATTCTGCTGATCTGGAAGTTTTGGTTCTAGAGTGGGGAGCCTTTCTGCCAGGAGCCACAAAAACATTCCATTGAACTGGAAGTTCAGACGTCCCCTTGGCCACTTCGGGCTTCTAATGCTCTTAAACCAACAGACTAAGAAAGGAACAACAGTGTTAGAAAGAGTGATTGATCCAGACTACCGTGGGGAGATTGGATTGCTTCTCCACAATGGCTGTAAGAAGGATTATGTCTGGAGTGCAGGGGATAGAGCCTTTAGGGCATCTCTTGGTGTTGCCACAACCTGTGATTAAAGCCATTGAGAAACCATAGCCGTCTAATCCAGGCAGGGTGACAAAGGGCACGGACTCTTCAGAAATGAAGCTATGGGTCACTCCTCAAGAAAAAGAGCCAAGAACTGGTGGAGGAAATACAGAATGGGAAATACAGAGGAAGGTATTGATAAATACAAGCTCAGGCCACGTAACTAGCGGCAGAAACAAGGATTGTAACTGACGTGAGTGTTTATGTCATATTTCGTTAAGAAAGCATTTGTACAGAGATGATGTTTGTCCCCTCGATTTCTTTACCATGTGATGTGACATCACTTAAGAGACTCCCGACGGTTATCATATTTGAGTTTGAGACACTAAAAGAGCGCCCCTCCTGTTCTAAATCCACAATGCATTTGGGGCTGTATAAGGAATAGCTACACCACGTTAGGTGTAATTATAATCTGGTTAAATATGTAGTACATTTGCAGTTTTCCCATGGGATAGTTATATCATGTGTAGACATAATTATGACCTGGTCATTCTTTTTATTTGGAAATTAATCATGACATAAGGAGATATGATTATGTGTCAGACAAGGGCTGAACTTGCGGTGGCTATTATATCTTGAACTAACTAAAACCCCCAAACGCTTGTTCTTGCCTCGCTAGCAAATCCATTGCTTCGTTGGTATTGAGGAAGAATCTGGGCATAAACCTAGTTCTACTTTCATTTCATCAAGCTCACGTTATCATTTTTAATTTAGTTCCTGAGGGAAAGCTCTGCATTTCAGAAGGAATGCAGTCCCTGTGACCTTTGGAGCTGATTGAAGAGCATGCCATGCAGGACATGCAGCTGATGCTCCACCAGTGTCTCAGGAGCTCTTTGATTCATTCACGGGAACCAGCGTCAGCATGTTCCCCTTAGCACTGCAAGCAGTGACAGCCCTGGGGAGGAGGTCTGGCTGTGCTGAAATGCAAGTCTCCAAAATAGTCCCTCCCCCTTGGAAATTCCGGGGCCTTGTTAGCAATAGAATGAGCTGGAAATCAAGGGAAATGAAAGGGTCAGATGGTAGGAAGGTGACCCAGTTTGGGGAATGGTAGCTATTGTTAAAAGCAGTCGGTTCTCTGGAATAGAAAGGACTTTGGCTGGCAGAGTCATTCAAGAAATAATTACCCAGTGCCTCTCACAGGTCCTGGGATTCTGAACTGGCCACGAGTTGATACATCTGAACACCTGCTTACATTTTATGTATATGTTGCCTTAGCTCTGTGTAGTGGCAGGGTTTGAATTCGTAAAAGGTACATCACACTTTTTTCTTGAAACAAACAAACAAACAACTAAAGCAACTCACAAAGGTGTCAGTCTTAAAAAATACTATAAACCAGCAGCTAGAAGGGACGGAAGAAAGAGTAGGACTTGGTGGCTCAGCTGGTAATCCTAAATCAAGAAACCGAATCAAAGATGATGCAATGGTAAATAATAAAAAGACCAAGAACTCCGCATGGAGTTAGGAATGAAATTAGTCCTTTGTTACAAGATGTCCCCTTGCAGTCCTAAACTGTGGCTTTACATTTTCAGTTACTAAGCTAAGGCAGTATTCACCCGTTAAAACAGTAAAAGCAGTTGTTTGGAAGAACTAATCCTGGTAACAATGTACTCATATGGGACCTTTCTCCTCTTCCTCGAGGGAACACCCCAGGACTCTTCCCTAGACACGTACCCCCTCCAGGCAGCGTCACAGCCTTGATAGTTTGGTGCCTGGTAACCATGCTTGGGTCCTAACCTTGGCAGGGGTGCTTGCCAGCCTAGGGCCAGCAGGGGGCCCTGAGTCCTCAGGAGAATGCTGGCCACCAACTGGAAGAGGGGCCTGAGCTCAGCAAAATGACTGTCAATTTCAAGGCCTTTGATCCCTATGAAGGAGCAGACAAAAGAGTGTCACGCCAGGGCCCCACCTCAGGGCAACCCCAGGCATTTTATCTATTGAAAGAGGGACAAAGAGAGAGTGAGAGCTATGAGTGTGCAGAGTGTGTGTGTGTGTGTGTGTGTGTGTGTGTGTGTGTGTG